ATAAGTATGTCAATTCTTTGAGAAATGAAACATGATTTAAGTAGGCAAGTGTTGGAAGGCATATAAAATATGATTTAAGTAGGCAAGTGTTGGGTAAGGCATATAAAGATATGATTTAAGTAGGCAAGTGTTGGGAAGGTATATAAAAATATGATTTAAGTAGGCAAGTGTTGGGAAGGCATATAAAAATATGATTTAAGTAGGCAAGTGTTGGGAAGGCATATAAAGATATGATTTAAGTAGGCAAGTGTTGGGAAGGTATATAAAAATATGACTGAATTAGGTAAATCTTTGGAAAGAACATAAATGTATAGGAAGGTACTTTAACAAACAATTTAAGTAGGTAAATCTTGGGAAGGCACATAAACATACGGTTTAGGTAGGAAAGTCTTGAGAAGAATGTAATCATGCAACTAAATCAGATAAATCCTGAAAAGGAAAGCATAGAAAAGATTTAAGTAGGTAAGTCCAACAAATAAATGAAAGCATTTCCTATACCAAGTATTCTATGGGATAAACCTTACATGTTTTAATTAAGGATGCTTAGTAAATTTACTTACCAAGACTAGATTTTTCATGCTGAAGGAGTTCGGTATCCAGTTTTGTTCTACTTAACAATTCCTTCTCACCTACTATCTCCTCTTTCAATGCAGAGAGTTGATTCTCCAGTGCTCCTATGTACCTTTCACTAAAAATAAAATAAAAAACAAAACACTGTACTGTATCATCAAAACAAAGCTATGATATATACCTACAACATACAAAAACACTGTATTGTACTTGCAAAACAAAGTTATAATATCTACCATATACAACACTAGCATTGCATTGTACTAAAAAAACAAAGCTATGATATCTACAACATAACACAACCACTCTTTATTGTACTACCAAAACAAAGCTATGACATCTACTACAACAACAACAACACTGTATTGTACTAGCAATACCAACCAATGATATCTAAAATACACAACAACACTATACTGTACTAACAAAACAAAGCTGTGATATCTACAACATAAAACAACCAATGATATCTAAAATACACAACAACACTTTATTGTACTACCAAAACAAAGCTATGACATCTACTACAACAACAACAACACTGTATAGTACTAGCAATACAAACCAATGATATCTAAAATACACAACACTTTATTGTACCAGCAAAACAAAGTTATGATATCTACAACAACAACACTGTATTGTACTAGCTATACCAACCAATGATATCTAAAATACACAACAACACTTTATTGTACCAGCAAAACAAAGCTATAATATCTACTACAACAACAACACTGTATAGTATCAGCAAAACAAAAGTATGATATCTACAACATAAAACAACACTATACTGTACTACCAAAACAAAGCTATAATATCTACTACAACAACAACAATGTATGGTACCAGCAATACCAACCTATGATATCTAAAATACACAACAACACTATACTGTACTAGCAAAACAAAGCTATGATATCTACAACAACAACAACAATGTATGGTACCAGCAATACCAACCTATGATACCTAAAATACACAACAACACTATACTGTACTAGCAAAACAAAGCTATGATATGTACAATATACAACAACACTGCATTGTACTATCAAAACAAAACTATATCTACAACAACAACAACAACACTAATATACAAGCAATAAAAAGCTATGATATCTTCAACATACAGCAACAACACTATTGTACTAGCAAAACAAAGCTATGATACCTACAATATACAGCAATAACACTGTACTGTACTAGCAAAACAAAGCTATGATACCTACAATATACAGCAACAACACTGTATTGTACTAGCAAAACAAAGCTATGATACCTACAATATACAGCAACAACACTGTACTGTACTAGCAAAACAAAGCTTTGATATTTGCAATATACAACAGAAACACTTCATTGTAGTAGAAAAACAGTATTTTGATACTTACAACATAAAACAAAAACTATGGATTGTACCAGCAAAACAAACTTATCACATCTACAATATATAAACAACATTGGTAGGAAACACACTTTCAAGTATAAAATGTCATTTTATATTCCAATATTCCAAAGCTATATGCACCCATATATTAAACACAGTATATGATACGGCATATAAGCCACTATACTAGTGAAAGAACCAAAGCATTTAAAAACATATATTTAGATATAGTAATCTGAAAATCCATACATTTATATATATATATACATATATATATATATATCTAAAACAAAATCCTGGATACACCACATGTAAGATATTCCCTATGCAACTGGAAAGAAAATTACTTCATAAAATGTAAATACAGATTTTATATAAAAAATTAACTTAAAATATACATGTTTTTAAAGTGATCAACAGTACAGAATTTGCTAGCAAGATGAATTTAGTTAAATGCAAGTACAAAATAAATCTTCTTAAGTCCACAGTTTTTGAACATAACGTAGAAAATAAGTATTGCTTAATGATAAATACACCTAAGTAGGTCAGCACTCACTGGAATCATTTCCAAGAGATATTAGATAATCCAGTGTTAAGTTTAATTTTTTCTTAGAATTTCACATTCTCCTATACATCGCATTTTTTTTATAATATGTGATGACTTATACTTGATATATTTCCTGAGAACATCTGCTGATGATATCCAAGATGTGTCTAATGTATAGCTTGCCATATGTTGTTAGTAAAATCCTATTAATTGTTATCTTCTAAGTATACTCGAAAATGGAAAACTGGTAAGGATTCATAATTCTTTTAAATGATAATCTGAGGATAGCTTTTATTCAGCAGAATTTGTTTTTTCCATTTCATTTTCAAACTTGTTTTAATTTTACTAATTAAAGTTATTTTGGCAATGTCATACACAACATATAGAACTGTAGCATAAAATAAATGGTCTTTAAATAACAATTAATGATTTCAAATGCTAGAAGCTGGCTTTCATACCACTAATACTAACCTCCTTTCTTTTTCAAGCTTGTAGTAATGATCTTGTGAAATAAGATCTTCTCTTTCCTCTTCAAGCTTCTCTACTTTACATTGATAGTCTCGCAAAATTGTATGCAAACGATCATTTTCACTGTTCAGAGCATCTATTTGGTCATTCAGGGTCCTGCGAGTTTTTTCTAACCATATTCTTTCACTTCCTGAAGCACTTATGATAGATTTTATCTTTTCTTTGTTTTCAAGAGAATCTTGAACTTCTTCTTGTCTAAAACAAAAATTTCCATGCAAAAATATCATACATAAAACAAGGAATCAATATTGATATTCTACATATCACTTACAGGAGAAACATACTTGAGATACAATGTACCTGCTTTACCTCAGAATTGTATTTCTTTGTCAGTTGTAAGCATTAGAATAACACTTGGATATTTATACTAAAACTCAGCAGCTATTATTTTAACAGATGCTCAGTAGATTACTGCAATGCCATTAATTTATTACGATTAGCGGAATCACCTTACCACATTAACCAATCTCAAATTATTCCATGTGCCTAAAAAAAGGCAAGATATATATATATACATTAAAGGTGTGCTCACTTGAAAAAGTCTAAAACATGTTCTTAATGAAAATCAAATGGAAGTATATTAGAGTCATGAAATATCACACACACACACACACACTCATTATGTATAGCAGAAACTCATTAAAGATCATTTCCATTATACATTTACTAACGTTCTGGTGTGTGAAATAGAATATAAATATCTGAGGAAACTTGCACAAACAATGAGCCTGACAGAGCTAACCAGTATCTCATGTCACACATCATAATGGTACAAACAGTGAGCCTGATAGAGCTAACCAGTATCTCATGTCACACATCATAATGGTACAAACAATGAGCCTGATAGAGCTAACCAGTATCTCATGTCACACATCATAATGGTACAAACAGTGAGCCTGATAGAGCTAACCAGCATCTCATGTCACACATCATAATGGTACAAACAATGAGCCTGATAGAGCTAACCAGTATCTCATGTCACACATCATAATGGTACAAACAGTGAGCCTGATAGAGCTAACCAGTATCTCATGTCACACATCATAATGGTACAAACAGTGAGCCTGATGGAGCTAACCAGCATCTCATGTCACACATCATAATGGTACAAACAATGAGCCTGATGGAGCTAACCAGTATCTCATGTCACACATCATAATGGTACAAACAATGAGCCTGATGGAGTTAACCAGTATCTCATGTCACACATCATAATGGTACAAACAGTGAGCCTGATAGAGTTAACCAGTATCTCACGTCACACATCATAATGGTGAAAATTTTAATACCAGATCTCAAAAATCTGTAATTTTGTAATATTCTTTATTCTCTTCAATCTTGCTAGTTGTGTGATGAGATTTAAGGATGACAATAAACATATTTCAATGTCTCCTCTTGATAATTTGCATTAATTTTGGGACCCATATTTTTCAAGAGAAAAGTACAGATTTCTGTGAATCAACAGATTTTTAACATCCCTGAACTTTTGATGTATACATTAAACTTCATATACACACTTAATAAATTGATACGTGTGCATATATTAAAGAACCAAAAGCTTCACATGAAACTTCATCTGATGACGAACTCAGCACAGAACCATAAACTGGTCTTCAAGACATCAGGGGCAGTCCACACAAAACTACTCAACAAGCTTCATATATGCTCATGGAAATTTAATTGCACACACTAAACTTTAAACATATATTAAACCTTCTATGTATCCATGATAAAAAGTTGTTGAACTTTAAATATCTATTAAACCTCCTACCTGTACCATCACAAAACAATTTCTAAACTAATATTAAGCCTCCTATACATTCACATAACATAATGTTTTGGGACAACATGGGACCTATTAGTCCATTTCAGCTGTTCCATCCTCTACACCAAATTAAAATAATAATAATAATAAACTTAAAACCAGCCCTAGTCATTCCTATAGTTACCAAGCTTTTTCTTAAAGCCTCTACAACATCCAAAGGCCAACCACCCTGTTACAAAAATATAACTGTCTTAGCTGAAGATGAATCCAATCTTGCCAAACTTTATATTTGTCCCCTACTCCTAATATTCTCACGGCAGTTAAGTATAAAAAAAGATTATACATCAACACTATCAATTCCCTTTACAATCTTAAACACTTCAATCAGACCCCCCCTTAACTCTTCTTTTTTGAAGAGGAAAACAATTTGAGAGATTTCAACCTCTCCTCATATAACAACTCCTCCATCCCAGGCATCATTCTAGTAACTCTTCTCTGAACCATTTCCAACAATTTAATGTCTTTCTTAAGGTACGGAGCCCAAGATTGAACACAATATTTCAAATGTGGCCTAACCAGTGACCTGTACAATGAAATTATAGCCTCTTTAGACTTGTATTCAATATTTCTGTAGATACAACCTAAAAGCCTATTTGCCCTACAACTAGCAACAGAACACTGCTTGGATGGCTTTAGAGACTGATCGACTATTACACAAAGATCCCTTTCCTTCATAACACTATTAAGGTTATTTCCATCCAAATTATACTTATAATTCAAATTATGATAACCCACATGCATTATCTTGGATTTATTATAATGATCATTTGGGTACCTGATGATGCCACATAACCATAATGAAATGTTTTTTAAATGATGATCTTTTCTATTCCACTTTAGCTGATTTTGAATTTTAAATTTTGTAGAGTGTTGGATACCTCCAATATTTACAGGTAATAAATGTGTTAAAATAACAAAACAATATTTATTAATTAGCATTTATTCACCACTTAAACTTTTTTAAACACTGACTCTATACCGTTAGTAATAGCAGGCCTATTTGTAGTCTAATTTAGGCATTAAACCTAATACATAAACATAAGGCTTAGCTAAAACACTACTTCATAAATATTATTTTGCTTTTGGCTACAATTCAATGTCATAAAACTTCTGAAGTAAACTATTTTGCTTTTACATCACCAAAGTTATCAAAATAATAAACCTTTCTAACAAATCATCATGAATAATGAGCATTCAACATAAACACCATAGTTGGCTTAAGAACAATCAGTTGATAGTTTTGTTGCTAAGCAATGACATTTATTGTTGACCATTACCATTATAGTTAGTGATGGCATGTATAAGTGCCATCTTGTTTAGGCAACACGTCTCTGCAGGCAATCTGTCGAAATACATAAAACCCCCGAACATCAATTGACGTATCAGAATAAATTATAAAGGACAAAGAATTTGAAAGGAAATTAAATATTAACAAGAGGGAGTCCTCAATAGCCACAACTGTAATTAATCTCAAATCGATCAAGAGATGGAGCTATGAGCTAAAAGTTTGTACTTGAAAAAAACTCAAGAAGCATTCTATAAGCTGCTATGCTGCAGCTAAAAATAAACTAAAATAAGTGTAAAGATAAAGATGGGAAATTACACATATAAGAAAAATATGATAATTCTAGTGGATTTCTACAAAGAATTGAAAGGTATGTATATATTTCCATTTGTTAATTTTAAACATTTCATTGCATTCTATGTTGATGATAATAAATAGTTACTGATATAGTAGAGAAAATGGAAAATAAAACATAAACATTTACATTAATTAAATAAAACTTATATTAATTTATGAGGTCCTAGAAATTATGCAAATGAAATGTGAAAACTGTAAGATTAAAAATAGTATTTCTATACTTCATATAAAAATCACCTTGCAGGTGAACTATTCAGAGACCGCATGCAAATAACAACAGGAAATATCATTTTTATTAGAAACAGTACTTTTTTTTTAGGAATATTTTTGTCAAATTTCAAACAATTTAACTCATAGGGTTGTGAGGTTGTTTATTTTTATTGGTCATTTGTACATCCTTTACAAGGATAACAAACAATTTAATATGTCATCACCATTTTGTTTACTTACAACACCTGAAGCTGGGAATTGAGCTGCATTATAAGACGTTTTTGATGTTGACGTTCCTCTTCAGCCTCATCTAACAACTTCACTTTAGTTCTGTGTTGTTCCTCTGATGTTGCCAGGTTTCTCTGTAGGTCCTACAAAGTACACACTTTCTGATTGGCTAGTAGTTAAGACACTAGACAGCTCAAAAGTAAGATTAACAATAATTCTAAAGGATTTCTATATTGTAAACATTTTTATTGTAGTTGCTTTAGACAATATTTAGCTAACTACAGTAGTAAAAATCATAATCAACATCACATACATCAGGTACTTGATGATGTGTAAAGTCACTAAAAGAAGGATATTAACAGACAAGTATTTTGTGCATCAGGTACTTGGTGATTTGTAAATGGTCACCAAAAGAAGAATATCACCATACAAACATCACATACATCAGGTACTTGATGATGTGTAAAGTCACTAAAAGAAGGATATTAACAGACAAGTATTTTGTGCATCAGGTACTTGGTGATTTGTAAATGATCACTAAAAGAAGAATATCACCAGACAAACATCACATACATCAGGTACTTGATGATGTGTAAAGTCACTAAAAGAAGGATATTAACAGACAAGTATTTTGTGCATCAGGTACTTGGTGATTTGTAAATGGTCACTAAAAAAAAGCATATTACAAGATAAATTCTTGTGCATCACGTATATGAGGCACTTGGAGACGTGTAAACGGTCACCACAACAAAAATATTACCAAACAAACATCGCAAACATCAGGTACTTTGTGATATGTAGTTTATTCCTCTAGACACTTTTATAAATCAGACTAGTAAGTGGAAAAAACTTTATATATGTACAATAAATAAGGTCATTACTATCTAACCCTATGAAACATTTCCTAACTTTTACTTTATAAATCAGATACTTATTATGTTATGACAAAAGTAAACTTTTACTGCAATATACTACTTGCTACTGAATGACACAAAATATACCCAAACCTTTACTGCAATTAGCTGCTTATTACCAAATGACACAAAAGTAAAGTTATGAACTTATTTTTTTTCTTGAATTGCAGACTAGAAGGAAGGCAACAGGGTTTTTGTCTTTGTACATAAAAGCATTTGAATAAC